TGATATTGACGTTATAGTTATTCCTTTTTTTTTTAATGAGTCGTTTTCGTGTATTAATGAGGTTGTCACCAGCATGTTATCAAGTGAATGAGGTTAATAAAAAGAAACGGGGCGCGGGTATTTCATGCTAGTGTTTCTAATTTCTATTATATATAATGTGTAGATTTCCAGTTGAGTTATTGTTGCAAATGTGTGTTACTTCCCTATCGACATATGTCTCAAATCCTGTCTGTTTTTGGATGATCAGGTTAGTTAAGAAAATGTTGGAGAACCTTCTTTTTTAATTTGCTATTTTGAAATAATATTATTGATGTCTCTCCTCTTGTAATAATCTCACTTTAATGAGCAACAAGACGTTATTACAGAAAATACAATTCTTTGAGGCTATACAACTGAAATGTTAATATTAATGTCATTGTTATTTGTAAAGCGGGTTTGGCTGTATACAAACTTGTTGCTTCTCGAGGAAACAATAAAAAAAATTATATAGCAGAGCATTAATGAAAGAAATTATATATTAAAGGCTTTGAAATCGAAACGGAAATATACACTTTGGGGTATACTAATGTCACAAGTAATTTAATCAGACAGCTAGAACTGATAAGTTGGTCATTAGTTGAACATTAGACTTACCAAGTAACAGATGGAAACAGCGAGATCGAAATAACGATTTGCGAGCAGATTCCATTCGAACCTATTAACTTTCAACAAGCGCTTCTTTCCAGTTTTTCTTGGATTATTTCTCCAAACAAACTAAAAAAAAATTACTTTTGTAGTCCAAGTTAACGCGAGAAAAATCTCCACAAAAACAGGCGCTAAACCTAAATCAATTAATGCTCGTCATGTGATCTCATGCCAGAAACTTCTTGAATGATGAGGTTTCAGTTTGAATGGGCTAATAAAATTTGTTATTACGTTTTCTGGGAGGCTGTACGAAAGATATTCCGGAAATTCACATTTTTGTTCACTGGAAGCTTTACTTTTCGTTCGTGATTTTCTCTGTCAACTGGAATGTCGTGGAATGTTTTATATAGCACAAAACAATATCGTAAGTTTAAAATTATTTTGTTTGTTCTGTATTTTTGGGTTGAAGCATTTCCAAAATTCAGTGTAATATTTATTAAACTATTTCTATAATATATTGGTTTGATTGTTATTTAGCACAAAGCTACGCAATGGACTATCTGTGCTATGGGCACCACGAGTATCGAAACCCGATTTTTAGTGTCGTAAGCCTGCAGACATACCGCTGAACCACTGGGGGCCTTCTTTAATATACTATATTGTTACGACAGCGGAAGTCACGTGACACTGGGACCATACGCGACTGAGTTTCTCGATTTTTCAGGGAAGCTCGAGTGTGATCGAGCGCCTCTTTGCTAGTATTGTTGCGTCAGCGAGTTCACGTGACTCTTCTCTTAAACCTTGGGGAATTGTCGGGAGATTACTAGATATAGGGTAGTCTGGTATACATATAAGAGGGTGACAACGTGACGGAATAATGTGTGTGTAGGTAGTGAGTAATTGAGTTGCAGTGCGAAAGTATCGTTGAAGTTAACGTTCGTTATAGCGTTTGTTTTAGCGTGATTGTTGAAATCAAGTGTATCGTGAAGTTATATTAAGGAAGAATAAACCAGTTTTATTAAGTAAGGATTTGTGTCGCTAAAGTTTCGTCGGAACGAAGTTAATTAACAAACGGAGACGTAACAAATTGGTGTCAGAAATGGAACGAAAAAAAATGGAAACGAGAAGCGGCAAATCAAACTACAGTTTAGCAGATTTAATGGCAGCAATACAAGAACAGCAAAAGAAACAAGAAGAGAGACAACAGCAGTTGCAAGAAAACCCTAATGCAGACATATTCAGTCCCGTTAGAAGTC